TTTGAATAGTGGTTAAAGGGTGTTGTGGTCATTTTTATAGCCAAGTTAACGTTGTTTGGGCCAAGTTAACAGAAGGGGGGAATCTTGACAATGATAGAAAAAGTACGGGAGGTTAGTGTAATTTTTGAAACTACAGGGGAGGTCCTTGTAATTATGAAAAACCCCAGGGGAGGTAAGTGCAATTTCCCTCTTTTTTTATTTTTTATGTTGTTCTTATCATTCAGCCACCTCTCATTATCCCTTCTAGTTTTAGTCCCAAACGAATTATTCAATCCCTTTTCCCGTGGGATTATCAGATTTCCCACTATTAGCATTTGTCCCACTACATTCAGCATTAATGATAGCATTTGGACAGCAGCCACCAATAGTAATGCAATTCTCATTAGGAGCCCTGGAATCAGACCCACCCCCATTTAATCTGTTGATCTCAGAAAGTGACACAAGACATGGCACTGAAACAGTAGTACCATCTGGACAAACAGAAGGAACAGAAATCCCGCTTCCCTTCTCACCCCTCCCCTCAATATGATCAGACATGGTATCCATTGTGTGTCCTGAAATGTGAAAAAGAACACAGTAGGGGTTTAGCACTTTTGAAACTTAAAGCATCTCAGGTTGTAGAAGCATTCAAAATGAGTTATGGTTAGTTCAGGCTTTTTTTAATATATATGTATACACACACATATATATATATTTGGTTTTCACCGTACAGTTTATTTTTTCTTTTTGTTATTTAGATGAAAACATTTTTGTTTTTTTAAATATGGCATTGTCAAAGATGTAGTTAATCTTTGCTAGTAAATTAATTTACAATGCTAATAGCTGCATAGCCTCTTGCCAATTCAAAAAACAAAAATAACGTCTGACTTAGTGTCAACTCAGGTCACAAGCACAAACGTCTGTCTGTCTGTCTCTCTCTCATAAGAGAACCCTGTGTAAGATTTGATGTATTGAGAAATAGAGAGAATGAATTATGTATATTGATATTATTGATTGATGTTATTGATTGATGTGTATTACAAGGATTTATATAGGAGAGGATTTGGGAGTAGGTGAATGTGGTAGTGGAGGTGGTAGGTGGAGTGGGTGGTAGTGGAGGTGGTAGGTGGAGTGGGAGGTAGTGGAAGAATTATTATTCTAGAGGATGGTGGAAATATATGGGGGGAAATATATTATAATAAAAATATTTTTTTTTTTTGTTTTCGTTTGGTTTGCATACAAAGCGTGCACTGTAAAGCATTACGGGAAAGGGAAGCTTGCAGAGAAAAGGGTCATGTGTGTGTTGTCGGTGGAAGAATAAGAATAATAAGAATAATAAGATATTAAGGACAAAAGCATGTGCCCTGGGTGGGAAAGTGAGAGAGAGAGAAATGCGTTGAGTGCAGTAGTGTTTTCCGAGAGGGAGAGAGAGCAGGTTGAGAGAGCTAAACCTCCCACCACAAATGATCAATTTGGGTCTAAAATCCATTGCTTTCTCTGCCAACCTATCATAATCAATATACCCAGTACTTGAATCCACCTTGTAAGGCAAACTCTCGAAGTAAATCGAGGTGGCAGAGATCTTCTTCCCACCAGAGGTGTAATACCCATGAGTCAAATGACCACCAGAAGGCAAATCCAGGCCCATGATCCGATCATGGGGGTTGAGAACAGCCGTGTAGGCTGCGAAATTGGCGGGACTACCTGAGTATGGTTGAACATTGACAGAGAAAGAGAGAAGCAGCCGAGGCGAGTGAGGTTGCAGGTGGGGGTGGCTCAGTCGCGGAGTTGTGGCTGGAAATAATGGCCAGGCTGGAGGCGACAGACACGAGGTGCGTAGGTCGCGCAAGCTGGTTGGTTGTCGGACCCATAAAGGAGCTAACCGGAATCAATGTTGGGACAGTTTACAGAGTCTTGTCGGACCCTTGAAGGAGCTAACCGGAATCAATGTCGGGACAGTTTATAGAGTCTTGTCGGACCCTTAAAAAATACACTGTATGATGGTGTATATAGGCTGCCCAAATATATATATATATGGATATATATAGTGAGCCCTCAAAAGTCGCGCCCTCAAAAGGCGCGCCCACTTTATCAAAGGATGTGCCATGAAAAGGCGTGCCAGTTTGTCGGGCGTCAAGAGGCGCGCGATGCGCGTGGCTGCCTCGGCTATTTAACCAAGACGAAGGCAGAGGCTGAGGCAGAGAAAAACTGAGAGAAACCTCTGAAAAATCCTTCGTGTTGCTGAGAAAGATAGTTCCGTTTGCGGGGAGAGATAGTCTGTAATACTCTGTTGCCCAGAAAATAGTCTGTAACACTTTGTTGCCCAGAAAATGGCTTCGTCTTCCCGCGGTCTGCTCACCCTCTTTCCCGACCTCAACGAGTCAACAAGAGAGATTACTGGAGCGGTGGCACTGGAACCTCAACCAAGTGCCCCGGAGTTTGCTCCGTTGAACTTTCCGATGCGGTCTGTGGAGCAAAGAATGGCAGTGCTGTCGGATGTGGAGGCCAATCAGTATACGTTGAAGTCATGCGTGGAGACCATGACTGCGGTGACAAACTTGTTGAACCGGCTGCAGAGTAGGGCAAATGAGGTGCAGCAGTTAAACTCCCAGCTGGCTCTGCTCCAACGCATGTATAAGGATGCGCGAGCAGAGATAAGTGTGCTAAAGGCGGAAAATAAGGAGCTGAAGCGGAAGGCCACCGTGATGTTCCGTTTTGGAGGTCCGTCATATGCTGCAGTGGAGGAGCAGGGAGTAGGCAACTTGCTCGGTGGTCTAGGAAGCACGGAGGCAGCACCGTCAAGGGCCGCTCAGGACGGAGGCAAGAAGAAGAGACCGGCGGCAGAGTAGATAAGAAAAAGCCCATTGTTTTTTTTTTTTTTTTTTTTTGGTGTAAAATGGGGATCAGGGGGAGCCCCGACATGAATAAAATGAGTTTGGTGTGCAGTTCTTCTGCTCTTGTTGTTTTTTTTTTTATTATTTTTTTTATTTGGTTAGAACAAAACTGCTATGGAAATATGCACCTACCAATTTAATTATCATATACTAAAAAATTAAGGAATATATTATTCACATATGATATATACCATTCGAAAATTGTGTACTACAGTGTTGTTGGCCAAGTTGATGTTAAATCCATTTGTTTAGCCATTAAAAATAGATCCCATGTGACTAGTGTTTTGTTTGGTGGATATCCAGATCCCATGTGACTAGTGTTTTGTTGGGTGGATATCCATGGGCGGAGTTAGGTTTCAGTAAAAAACAACGTATTTGTTCGATTTGTCTTTTTTTTTTTTTTTTTTTTTTTTTTTTTAAAAAAAAAAAAAAAAAAAAAAGGGAGGAAAAAAATAAAAAAAAAAAATGACCAAAACATAGATATATAAAATAAAAGAAAGGAAAAAAGCAGAGGAGGCGGGGTGTGTTGGGAGAAGTGTGTGTGGGGAGAATGGAATAAAAAAATAAGAGTAGTTTTGTGGTTAAATAAAAGAAGAGTGGGTGGGCAATATTAAAATAAAAAGAAAGGAAAAGAGGGGGACAAAAGTTGCCGGATGGTGTATCATGGAATGGTGGATCACAGAGTGTTTAATGGGTTTGTGGAGGAGACACACATGGATGGGTTCTGTGAAGATGTTTTCCTCATGGATGGGTTCTGAGAAAGCCTGTTCAGATACTTCCTTTGGAAATGGGTGTTAACCTTTCTGGTCATTAACAACAGGCATTAAAACACTCTCTAATCTCTCATGTTTGATCGTGAGAAAGAAGAGTGAAAAAAAGAGAGATTTGCAGAGAAGTGAGAGTGTGAATCTTTGAGGCTTGTTGTGGTGTGCAAAGCTTATTACCTTCCCGATGAAAACTCTCAACCTCTTTTCATTCACTGCAGTAGTGCACTTCCAAAACTGGCAAGGATGGAAGGAGAGAGAAAATGTAGAGAGAAAAGAGAGTGAGAGAGAGTGTGGAGAGAGAAGCCATCGGAGAGAATATAGATGCAGAGGGAAGTGAACACTAGATACCACTCCACTGTTGTTAGAGGATTTGATGAACATAGCGGTTCACAAACTATCTGGAAGAACAGTTTCATTCCACAATCTGCTCAGCAGAGAGCGGAAGCGCAGGCTCAGGAAGCCACGGCGGCGTCACTTCAGGCTCAGCTTCAGCAAGTCATAACGGGCGGCGGCGCATAGCCGGAGGACGCCGAGTTGGCTTACATTGATCCAGACCGAGTCGAGGTGGCGAGTGGACCGAGTTGCAAGGCGTGTCGGGAACGAGTTGCTTCGGTGGGTGTATTGCCGTGTCGGCACCTGTCTGTGTAGAGAATGTGGTGCCATGGCTCAAGCTTGTCCTGTCTGTCTCTCTTTCAGGGAGTATGTTGCCGCCGTTGATGGCGAAGAACTCGAAGCTATGTGCAAAAAAAAGTTCCAGCGGGCAGCGAAGGCAAAGTTGCCGGCCGGCTGCCCGCCGGTGAGAAAGAAATACAGGCCTAAATCTTATAGCTCTGATACCATGTAAGATTTGATGTATTGAGAAATAGAGAGAATGAATTATGTATATTGATATTATTGATTGATTTTATTGATTGATGTGTATTACAAGGGTTTATATAGGAGAGGATTTGGGAGTAGGTGAATGTGGTAGTGGAGGTGGTAGGTGGAGTGGGTGGTAGTGGAGGTGGTAGGTGGAGTGGGTGGTAGTGGTAATTTACATTTACTTTTACAATTTACATTAACACCCTGGATAGTTGTAAAGTTTTGAGAAGGTTATATTTTGGACTTTTGATTCTAAATTACCTTAGATATCTGTTAAGTTGACCTAAAATGCAAAGTCAACCCTCATTTCATTTGAAATTTAGATGAATTAGCTATTACGACTGAGTAATGAGGATATATTTAAAAATATCAAGGAGTTGAAGAGGTCATTTTTTCTGCTATATTTGTGATGACAGTCACTTAATTTTATGATATTCCTACTTTTGAGAAAGAGAGCTTAAAAACATTAATTGCATGCCTCACATTGTTTTTTCTGCAGTTAGTAAGTTCCGTGGGAGTAGCACTTCAAGGGTGGTCCCAAGGCAACCCTCATATATCATACATCTAGGATGGATGTGTAAGATTTTAATTGGTTCTTCAAGTCTCTTTCTCTTTTTCTCGATCTTTCAGTGACATGCATGCCAAAATGCTTAAGTGGTCGTTATAGTCCTAATTACTTTATTGACATCTTTTTAGGCTGACATTATGGTTGTGGATTTGGCGTCTAAGTCAGAAAAAAATCTGCACCGGTCTTTATGGTAGGATTTGTTGTATTATTCCTATATGTTGTTGTGTTTTTTGAATGGTACTCTCTCTGTCTCTATGTGTGTGTGTGTGTGTGTGTTTCCTTTAGAACTCGTGATCACATTATCTGTATTGGAAAGATTAATGCTGATATCTTTTGCACATCATTGAAATTTGTTTTTCAGCATGACCTTTTATTAACTTCTTCTTTCTTTTTCCTGCCACTTGCTCTGAGATTTGATATCTATTTATTGATAAGTATTAATTTGGACCAAATGGAAGCAGAGTAAAACATACATTGTCTACTTGTTATGAACTAATTTTACTTAACACAATTTGGTGTCCAAAATTGCAGGCCGTATGATCTCCAGGCCAAGAAAACCAAAAGGAAACATTTTATTGAAGGAATTTCTTGTAGGATCAATTGTCATTTATGGGGTAAAGAGTGGAAAAAATAATTTTATATTTTGAATCTGTCTGGAGATGGACAAGACACGAGATGATGCAGGGCTAGCGGAACCGGGTCCTGCGGAATCGGGTCGTTCTAATGACACTTGGTGGCCATCAAATTTGATGGAAAGACTGCGATCAGTTTCTCTGTTTTCTTCAGAAGCAACGATTAATAATAAAGAATCAATAAAAGAGCATAAGGTTGAGGGTTTGGCATCACACAGAGCTTCACAGATTCTGTGGGTCACTGGAACGCTTTCTGAACCAATTCCCAATGGTTTCTATTCTGTAGTTGCGGTGAGCAGTATATATTTTTGTTGAAATGTGCAATTAGTAGAATGTAGTTCTTGCTTTTCTGTGCTAGGATATTTGGTGCAAGTGAGCATGTTTGGAGATTAGAAGTGATTAGCAAAAAAAGAATATATTATTTGAATCCAGGTATAGCGCGCTAAAGTTTCTTGCCTTGTCTGTGGCTGATTTTATCAAACTTCCACATCACTAGTAATCATGGATCAGCATGTCATAGTGCATATGTATGTGGGCACTCTACAGACAGCCCGTCACACACTGGGCGTTGATTTCAGCTAAAGCATTTGATTTTGGATGATGATCTAATTCAGTTGAATAATTCATTTCAAGCAAAACCTGTAAACTTGGTATAAATATATTTTATGGACTTCAAATTCTTATGCCTATCTATGTGCATTAGTTGTTGGAATTTTTACTGATTAAATTTTCCAACCTGGTTGTGTATTTTCTCAGTCTACCAATCTAACAGTCTGTAAATGTAAGTTGTTTTCTTTCATATTGGATGATGCTGCCTTTATCTCCTCTCGTGTGCACCTAATACCTGAACTTGCACATAGTTTTATGCAATATGATGCTTGGGGATTCTAAATTATTCTACTTGTTAAAATTCACCCACTACACACCTACCACTACCACCTACTACACACTCACCTACTTCACCTACTCTCCACCTACTCCTCACCTACGCCATACCTACTACACACTCACCTATTCTCTTCCCACATCCTCTCTTCTATATATAGGAATCATTGTAATATATCAATACAACAATCAATAATACAATTCTCTATTTCTTTTTTATACATTGAATTCTAACACTACTAAATAGTAGAAAGGCACAAGGAAAAATATGGTGGTGTATTGCTTGACTTTTAAAAACTGTTTAGGACCCTTTGTGAACCCAAAAAATTGAAATGGTTGGTGAATATCTCATTGTAATTAGATTGACCTTTAGTTTTGCATTTGGCATCCAGTGGTCTGTTTCTTTGATTTATGCATGGTGTAACAAATGTCTCAAGAATCCAAATATATATATGGAAAATGAAAAAAATTTGTTATGCATGTGCACTAAATAAATGTTTAGCTAAAGCGTTCTCTCCGGTTTTTAGAAATTGTAGAGTTCTTTAAATGGTTGAAAATGAAAATTGAGCAATGGCTGTTGGCTCAATACTGCTAGGTAAGACACTAATCAAATGCTTAGCGGTGACCTGATTATAGGTTTAATTTTGGACACAACTCAATACAAAAACTCCTTGCCCTTGGCCACCTAGCTAGCGGGAAAGGAGAAATTTACGCTCAGTTTTCTTTTTTCTTTTTTTTTGTCTTAAGATACCAAACCAAACCAAGCCTGAAGTCCCATCAAATGGGGTCGGCTACATGAATCCTTCTTCTCCATGCAGATCTATTAAAGGCCATTTCGTTAGTCAAATTAAATAGATCCATATCTCTATTTACAACGCTAGCCAACGTTAATCTAGGCCTACCTGGTCCCCTACCGCTTCCAGCTACCGTCACTGCATCGCATCTCTTCACTACTGCCTCTATTGGTCTCTATTGAATATGACCAAACCATCTCAATCGATTCTTTCTCAACTTATCTTTTATCGGTGTCGCTCCTACCCATTCCCGAATACACTCATTCATAATTCTGTCTTGTCCAGTTTTGCCACACATCCACCTTAGCATCCTAATCTCAACAACACTCATTTTATCCACATGTTGTTTTTTGGTTACCCAACATTTAGTCCCATACAACATCGCTGGTCTAATAGCCATTCTAGATAACTTACCTTTTAATCTAGTGGGTATTTGTTTATCGCACAGTACCCCAAATGCACTTCTCTACTTAAGCCATCCCGCCCTAATCCTATGGGCCATATCCGCATTAATCTCTCCCGTTGTTGTGATAATCGACCCTAAATAACGAAAATGTTCACTCTTAGGCAGTTCTTGGTTCTCAAACTTCACTTCTCCTCGGCTTTCATTGTTACTGTTACTAAATTTACACTCCATGTATTTTGTCTTACTTCTGCTTATCCGGAATCCTTTAGATTCAAGTGCTTTTCTCCAAATGGTCGTAAGATACTAAGATGCCTGATTCTGAAGGGGAAATTATTTAATATTCCCAGAGTACCACATGTCCGTACTCCCTAACTAATCATCATTCAATATGCCTCTCATGTTCCCCAATCACCCAACACGATACCCCACCTACCCACTTTCTCCACCAATCATAATACTATGGAATACCACGTATCCATACTCCAGAATTACTGAATAATTACCCATTCTGAAGAGACCTAGAAAGGTCAGCCTTAAAAAAAAAAAAAAAAAAAAAAAAAATTGTTCTCTTCTTACATCGGTACAAACTTCGTTGTATTCTATGCCTTCTATTGTTATTTAAATTTTGACACTTCGACTGAGACACTACATACATTGTGCTCAACATTTTGACAGTTCTTTTTTAGCCATTTATTATGCAGTTTTTCCTTGTACGTCATTACTTTGGCTAAAAATGATTAATAAACTATTTCTAAACATAGTTTTTTCCTATTGGAAGCAACAACTTTAAAATGATATATGAGCAATATTATGAAGATGATGCCGTTATTGTGTAGTATATGCTTATGGAAAAAATGTAAAAGTATACAAAGATAATAGAAAAGGTAGCTAGCATCTAACAGCTCCAAAGGGGTTTTTGTTTTTTATTTTATTTTAATTCTTTGGAGCCTTGTAGATTAAGAAACAAGGCAGTTCATTTGGGATTTGATCACGAACGGTAGATTATAGGCTCTGAAACATCATTGTTGGGAAATTGGCTTTAGCAGTTAAATAGACCTTCATAAGATAATTGCGAGAATGTGATTGATTTTTTTAAAAGATTTATAGTTGTTTCATGTGTTATATACTATTGAGAAAGTGTTAAGATCTCGTTGCTTGTGAATTAAGGGTATTCTATGTTTTAATCTGGTAGTTAATTTCCAGAAATTTATGAAACTTGATTAAGTTTATATTAATGGTTTTTTGTCTTTGTTTGACAGTCTAGTATACCAATAAATACCATCATTGTCTGATAAAACTCAATATTGTGCAGGAAAGAAGACTTAAGGAACTATTTGATTCTATTCCTTCTCTAGATGAACTTCATGCTTTGTATTCAGAAGGTCTTAGAGCAGATGTTATTGTAGTGGATGATAAAGATAAGAAGCTTTCCATGCTAAAGCAGCTGACTGTGACTTTGGTGAAAGGATTAAATTCAAATCCAGCAGCAGTTATAAAAAAGATAGCTGGATTGGTATGCTTTTCTGACTGTGAAAGTTTTCTTATTATTCGTTTTTTTTTTTATTCTATGTTCCATTGCAGGTCTTGAATGAGTGTAGTGTATTTTGATGACCATATTTTCCCATGATAACATGCATTTATTTACTAAATAGTAAATATTTTCTAGTTGTACTGGATGTGGCATTGATAATAAATACCTGGCAATACCTTACTGTTAGCATTACTAGTGGTACACTGGATGTTCCTTGGTGTGTGGGAGGCAATTTTTCTGTGGTGGGTTTCCTTTTAAGTTTGGGTTGTATCACATCTTCCAATGCAATGAGTACTTGTTAGTGGACCTTCCTGTGGGGCAGTCTTTATACCTGGTCTAATAACCAAGAGTTGCATTCAATTAGTAGGTTTGAAGAGATTTTATTCTTATAGTGTTGAGAACATTATTCTTCAGAAGGCTTGGACCCAAGTCATCTATTGGGGAATTTGGCCATTATTCCACAAGGAGGAACACTTGTCAACTATTGCTTAGATTTCTCTTTCAAGGCTGATTTCAGATTTTTTGTGTGTCCAGGTTGATCAGAGGTTCGGCTTCCTTCTCCCCCACCTTCATATTCTTGTTTTGTTGGACAGTGGTGGTTTGATGATAAGGATAGCCCTTTAGATTCGAGAGTTTGTGGCTTTTTCAATGAAGCTTTTGTGGACATATTTCAATGTTAGTAGGGTGGCTATAGGGTGGAAGGAAATTCTTCTTGTGTTACTGTTAGGAAGCTGAAGCTGTTGAAAAGTGGCTTAATGAAATGGAGCACCTACAAGTTGAGAATGCAAGGGTGTTGGGGGATATTAGATGTAAAATCAGTTTAGCCATGGACTACCAGATTTGCCATGTTCATAAAGATTCGAGAGTTTGTGGACATATTTCAATGTTAGTAGGGTGGCTATTGGGTGGAAGGAAATTCTTCTTGTGTCATTGCTGGGAAGCTGAAGCTGTTGAAAAGTGGCTTAATGAAATGGAGCACCTACAAGTTGAGAATGCAAGGGTGTTGGGGGATATTAGAGTTTTCGATTTAGTTCAAATTTGGTGGTTAGTCACATATTAAGTGAGCTTCAGATTTTGCTGGAGTGTTTTGCTAATACTGCCAGTGAGGCGGGAGCTTTATAATTACTAAAACATGTGACAATAGTCTTGTGTGGTTGTTTGGTGCCCAATGGTATTTGTCTGCGAGTGGATCAAAATAATAGTATTCTTTTCTTCTTCTTTATTTTATTTTATTTTTATGTCAGAGTGGAGAAGTAAATGATTGTTTTTACATTTGTGTTTGATTAAAATGAGTTGCAGCCAATGTCAAACAATCGTTCTTGCCTCTAAAGAACCTGTGTCAGCTATTGATTGAAAGTTTAATGTTTTTTTTTTTTTTTTTTTTTTATGTTTTTCTAAAAATAAACAAAAAATAAACAAAAACCAGTTTATAAAATTTTTGTAAATATAAACTGAAAACGAAAACGTTACCAAACACACCCTAATGGTTTCAAAATGCTGATCAAGTTTGTTTTGTTTTTGTTCACATCACATGTTTTTCCATGCATAGGTTTATGAATTTTATAAGCAACCCAATTTGGATTTAAATCCAGCGAAAGCTGCACTGGAGGAAGTATCTCATGCATTGGATAATCAAGGAGTCCGGATGCTGGGTCAAATAAAGCATGGTACATGCCATGCCCGGGCAATCCTATTTAAAGTTCTTGCAGATACTGTAGACCTTGATAGTAGGCTTATGGTGGTAAGTTTTTTTTAATTACTTGGAATGAAAGACACCCTTTATTTCCTTTTTTCGGTTATCTTCAATGAGCTTTGAACCTATTGACTTAAAAAAAGTTTCTGATGGCTCGTTTTTCTAGCTGTCTCTGAAGCTCAAAATGTTTTTCCATTTCCATTCTCAGGGTTTGCCTAGGGATGGAGTAATGGAGAGAACAGACTCATATAAGCATATGTCTGTGATAGTGATGATGAATTCTGTGGAACTTCTGGTTGATCTTGTGCGTTTTCCAGGCCAGTTGATACCCTTTTCAACCAAGGCAATCTTTATGTTTCATATATCTGCTGCAGGTGAGAGTGACTCTGCAGACTATGACTCATGTGATTCACCCCTAGAACCAAACAGTCCTCTTTGTGGCTCCTCAGAGCGAGTATATGTTGAAGGGTAAGAAAATTTCTTGCTATCAGCTTGAATGTATAGTTTTATTTGCTATTTCTTTTTTGTAGCTTTATCAACTTTAGAATTTCTGTTGGTGTTGGTTTGAAATTTACTGTGTTATGCCTTGCAGAGCTGAAAACAATGAGAGCCTCCAGTCCTTTTATCCCTATAAACTAGAAGCATCAGTTAAAGTATCAGGTCCATCTTTGCGGAATGTAATGCTTCAACCAAAAACAATGATTGATGGAAGGCTAAAGTAATTCTATTCCCAAGAGGAAATATTACATCGAATAGTTGTTTTGTTTTTTAATTCCCTGTGATAATGTCCATTTGTTATCACTTGCTGTTTCTTTGTCTTTGTCAATAAATATAAACTTTGCATCACTGTAAGTGTTTTTTTTTTTTTTTTTTTGGTGCAGTTTATCACACAGTGAACCAAATATAGCAAATGCATTTTGGCGGCGCAGCCAGATGAAAGTAATTGCAGAGCAGCAGACAGCCAGTTCAAGGTTTTATCGGGCTTAAATTTTACTTATTTATGAATAATACATAAGTTAAATAAATCATACCTTGGATTCAAAATATGCAAAGGTACCCATAAAACCATGTAGTTAGGAAGTTACTGATTTCTTTTAACTCAATATGAAACTCCCTTGAGAGGGAGAGAAAAAATAATAATAAATAAATAAATAAATAAATAATTGGAGACAGTCTTGATGTGAAATTTTTTGGAAGGATTTTAAAAATCAGGTGAGGTTCACTGAACTAATTATTTGCTGTAAGTGCAATCGGGCCTTCATCTTATGGGTTGAGCCAAAATTTAATACATCAATGAAACTCTGACTGACTGGATCAGTAACTGTTTTGGTTTTGATGCAGCAATTAGAAGCATATGAAAATGTAAATTTAAAGAAGTGGAAAAAATTAATATTAGTCAATTTCACAACGGCATCCATTTAGGACATATTGAAATCAAGTGTCAGATTACATTGGGTCTTTTATGTTCAGAGCATAGTTGTCAAATCGGGATACAAGTCGTGAATTGAAATGACCTCGTACTGAATCGTGAATCATAAATCGTAAAAATTCGGTTACTTTTTCTAAATTAGTTGGAAAAATATATCTACATACTTGGATGTTAAATATATCTTATGAATATGAAATATTTAGACTTAAATCAAGTAAAATGTTGTTTTGAATGATGATCATGTAGTTTATAGATAAGAAGTTAACAAAGGTTTCTATGTAAGTTCATTATCTTACATTTTTTTCCTTTTTTAGATATTTCTTATCAACAATTCTTGATAAAGACAGTAAACAAAGAAAAACTCTCAATTTTCAAAGTAACAATAATTTGACAATGATATTAATATTTTAACAATAAGCATACATACTTTTGTGAAGAGGGAAAAGGGGTTCATTTGGTTAGTGGGAGACTGTTTCTCTTTCTAGGGAAAAAGGTGGCTTGGCTATTGGGAACAACGTTGCTAGGAATATTGCTCTCTTAGGCAAGTGGTTATGGAGATTTTCTATTGAAAGTGACTCGCTATGGTGTTTAGTTATTAAAACCAAGTACGGCGTTCAATCTAATGGTAGAGATTCTAATGTGATTAACAGAGGCAATTGTCGTTCACCATGGAAACCCATTTCTCGTTTGTATCCACTTGTGTCTAATTTCTTTTCATTGAGAGTGGGGAATGGGGTGAATATCCATTTTTGAGAGGATGTTTGGTTAGGGGATATCTCTTTTGATAGAACTTTTCCTTTTCTTTACCGATTAGTTCGTTCTCGAAATGTCTCAATAGCGTCGGTGGCAAGCTCTTTTATGGATCCTATCTTTTGGAATTTTGACCTCATTAGAAACTTGAATGATAGGGAGGCGGTGGAGTTGGCATCTTTGTTGGTAGTGCTTTAGGGGGTCTCTCTTTCTTCATCTTCTGATATTGGGGTGTGAAATCTTGTTTTCTCAGGGGTCTTTTCGTGTAAATCCTTTTTTGATAAGCTCATTGAGAATCCTTCTATTCCATTGTTTCCTTATCATAAGAAAATTTGGAAAGCGGATGTCCCTCATAAAGTGAAGTTTTTCATGTGGTCTTTGGCTCAAAAGGGTGTCACAACTAATGATGTTTTCCAAAAGAGAAGACCTAATCACTCTCTTTGCCCTCAATGGTGTGTGATGTGCAAGAGAAACTTGGAGGTAGTGGTCTTCTATTCCTTCATTGCCCAGTGGCTTGTGTATTATGGCAGCGTCTTTTCAGCTTATGTGATGAGCAGTGGGTTGCTCCGCAGGACTGCATTTAGATGCTTCTTATTCGGTTTATAGTGTTTAGGAGAACCAAGAGCGCAAAAACAACGTGGACCAATATTGTTTTCGCTATTTTTTGGGCTATATGGTTGGAGAGAAATACTAGAATCTTTGATGGCAAGGAAGCAAGTATAGAGGCTTTGTGGGATAGGGCGGAATATTTGGCATCTTTTTGGGCATTTGTATCCCCTCCTTTTAAAGGAGTCCCTTTATTGTTGATCTCTAGGGATTGGGCTGTTGTTTGCCATCCCTAGGATTAGGAGTTTTGTACTTTTGTTTTGCTCTTTCTTTTTCTCTTTCTTTGTATGAGGACTTCTTGTCCTCTTTCGCTTCTCTTTTTTAATTAGATTTTTGTTGATGCTCTAAAAAAAAAATAAGCATACATACTTTTTCCAAGTAGCAATGACCAAATAATAAGAAAGCATTATTTAGGATATTTTATTTTGAAGTCTAAAACATTTTAAAATATATAACTGACCTCCCCCATGTAATATACAACTATATTTAATTTAATAAAATAACGATAGATAATTCATGGTGTAAGTTATTTTCTTAAACATCTTTAAAAGATATGTTATGATTATTTAAAGGAAAAAAATAAGAATAAAGGTTAAAAGCATGTTGGGTCTGACTGAATTTGATTGGATCATATTAAAAACTCCATGATCACTAAAATAACAACAAATCATGTACATATATTGGTTATTTTGGTATTAAATGCTATTAAAAGTTGTATTATGTCATTTTCAATAAAAAGATAGAGAAAGAAAAAGTAAAAAATATGTCGGACTCGATAGTTCCAATAATTACATGAATCATAAAAAATAAATCAAATTGTGAATCGATTGTGAATCGTGCGATTCACTAGAGATTCACTTTCAAAATAGATTCACTCATAGATCCGTATCGATTTTGCAAAAATTGCGAATCAAATCTTGAATCGAAAGATTCTGATAAAAAAGGTTCAGAGCTTGATAATCTTCTTTTGTCCTAGTTAACAAAGGTTTATGTCTAGGTTTTCCACTTCCTTTAGGTTTCTCTTTCAATTATTAGTTTGACTTTTTCTCACTTGGCTTGAATCCAGCTTGGTTGTTAATTATGCTTGTTTTTTTGCATATTTAAGTGCTCTTACTTGATTCGTGTGAATCTCCAATTTGTTTCTAGGTTTGTTTTAATCTTTTTCTTTTTGTTTTTTCAGTCCAGAGCATCCTTTACTTCGAGTGCATGGACGATCTATCTTAGGTGGTCATAGAGATTCTTTCAGAGATTATGGGAATGATATGGCGACATCAAGGTTCTTATCTTAAGATTTCTTTGTTTAGAAACCGTTGGCATTTGTTACAAAATATAAGAAATACATAATTGTTCAATATTGCTCACAAACTGTGCAAAGCATTGATGAACCACCACTGCCAACCCTAATTTTGAGAATAAGTTGGTTTTATACTTGTATTCCTGTACTAGTGTTAGTGTTTTTTCTATTTTGGTAATTCCTATTTGCACCTAGGGGCCATGCTAGGTTTATGCAAGAGGGTTCACCTGAACCCACTGACAGGTGAAAAATATTCATTATATATGAGAAGTTTCATTGTTAAAATGTCATGGATATGATGACTAAGCCATCTGGTATATTATCAATGAACCTTGCATACCTCTTCCTAAGAGCATCCACATTAGGCTAGCTATTATGGTTTAGGACAAAATTTGCTTAGCAATGTGCAAAATCACTCCTCCATCAGCCTCGCTACACCAAAATTAAATTTGGCATTACTACAGTAAATCGCTACATGTCCCGACGCATTGTTCATAAGTTATATAATATTTTATCATTTATTCGTAAAGAGTGACCGGACATCCGGCCGGATGATCAACTGCTACACCATTTTTTTTTTTGGAGCGTGAAATATAATATTTTATCATTTATTACTGGACATCTGACTAGACATCTTATCGGATGACCGGCTGTGCACCATTAATTATTTATTTATTTATTATTATTTTTTAAGGAATATAGCAACTTTTCCTAGAACCTTCTAGAAGCTGCTTTGGGTAGAGTTGTTTGCATAATGCAGCAGATCATAAAAATAAATATTTTATAAAATTAAATTTTAGAATAGAGAGTCCGATAGAGGTGTACATGCAAAAAATGCTAGATAAAATCGAAAAAGTAACTTTTTGATAACAGTTTAGCTCAAAATTTGTTTAGCCTGATGTGAATGATCTAACCCATCTAATCACTTTAAGGATTTGACCAATGAACGGGTTGCAATATGTCTAGTCTTTGAGATATTATATAGTAATTTTGGAACAATGCTTTACATTTGACACTTGTCAAGTTATTTTTTAAAAAGCTGACAAAAATACTAGGTCCCAATGCTTTAATCTACTGTAAGAAATAATGTATAGAAAAAAAGAGAGAGAATAAATTGTATGTATTATTATTGATTGATGTAATGTTATATCAATTACAATGATTCATGATTCCTATATATAGAAGAGGGTGAGTGTGTAGTAGGTAAGGAGTAGGTGAAGTGGAGGTGGTAGTGGTGTAGTGGGTTAGGTTTAGTGGAGTAGGTGAGGTGGTAGTGGTGTAGTGAGTTAGGTTTAGTGGAGTAGGTTTAAGTGGGTGAAGTAGGTGGAGAGTAGGTGGATTTTAACATCTACAAATATCAAATTGGAGCCCCACTTGAATTTACCCCAAATCACCAAATAATTTTCTCCAGTCTCTAGACTATCCATTTTGTTTTGGGGAAATTCTATGTCGGTGTACATTTAAAAAAAATATATTTACAAATTAATGATAAATTTTGTAAGTATTGAAATTTGAAATGATAACTTTTTCATCAATTAGTAATTAATTTCTAAAAAACCCATGGAGGACTAGTTTTCGGAAAATTATTAGGTATTCTCGGAGTACCACGTGTTCGTACTCTTTCAGCAATCATCATTCACTATACCCCCTTATGTTCCTCAATCAGCTAACATAAAATCATAAAACCCCACCTTCTCCACCAATCATAATATCATAGAGCACCACGTGGCTGTGCTATCGGAGTACCCAATAATCATCCTAGTTTTCCCTTTTCCTACTCCTCTCCCTGCTCTTCTAAACTACTTACTTTTCTCTCTCTAGACTAAGCACTAAAAAATAATAATAATAAAAAAAATAAAAATAAATAAATAGCTATTGTTGGGATAATACCACGTGCTATTACATTTAAATGTGATTAGTTTATACAGTGGTATTCATCAATCTTGTACAAGAAATGCTATTATGTATATTTCTAAAAGGATACATATGACATTAAAAATGACTTTTTGTAACAACATAAATTTGTAACATATACCCACTGGCGATTCTAAAAAATTTTGTTAGTGGAAATCTAATCTAGAAATCTTGCTTGACAAACTATTTTTTAGCAAATTTATGAAAATACTCCTTTTCAAGAATTATTTTTTGATTTATTGAATTTATTTTAAAAATAAAAAGATAGTAAAATGATGAGTGTTTTTAAACTTTTCATTATTTTTGTTTATTAGTAGACAAAATGTGAATAACAACTGTAAAGACAATACAAAAGTGCACTTGAATGACACCACTCACAAAATTTCCTAGAGTCACCACTGTTTGTACCACGTAATTGGGCAGAACTTTCTCTAGTGATATTAATACCACGCATATTGGTCATCTGAAACTGATTGCATGCACTTGTGTAATTACAGATCAGCTGGGGCATCACCATTAGAAACTCATCGAAGAAGAAGAAGAAGAAGACACAGTATTAGTATGACTCCAGAGATTGGTGATGATATTGTAAGGTTGATACCTTTTTTTTTTTTTTTTTTAACCATCACTTCTAGTAAGCATTAAATATATGGTTGATATTGGCATTTTATTTATTTAGACCCAAGTAGCACAGACACGGACACACGACATGCTAACTCAATGATTTTCAAAAAAATGTAAGACACGATATGCTTGGAAGACGTTAAAAATTTATATTTTTATAGATTTATTATATGCCAAATATATGAATAATTTTTTCAAAGGTAATGAAAAAAAAAAATGAAAAAAAGAAAAAAAGAAAGCAACTTAACACTAATTAAAATTAAAAATTATATATTCCATAACTTAAACATCAAAATATCATTCAAGTAACAATTGCATTATAAAGAATGCAAAACAATTGTAAAACATTAAAATATCCATGATGTATTTATCTTATAAATGTTTAGAAACATATTTAGAGTGCACAAGTTGCATTCTAAAGAATGTAGAACATTGTTAGTATATGAAGAGATGTAAAGTGCCCGATGTTACTTTAGGAGTATCCGGAGAGTGTCGTGTCCCGACATGACACTCCTCCATTGAAGTGTCCATGCTTCTTATATTTAGAGCAATCGCTCTTTCTCCATCTGGATCGGATACAGAGATTTCTCTTTATATTGATGTTTGTATCATTTTGTAATGTTTAAACTTTCTATGTGGAGGTAGCTTTATTTTTGCTTGAAGCTTCCTTTTGTCATTCTTTTTGTGTACTACATTTTTCCTGCTAGTAATTATGTACATGTTGGGGGCCATTGCTTGGTACGCTGGAAAAAAGCTGGAGTTGCAAGGCATGAGAACTCAAGCTTAGTAAGAGCAGTCACTTTGTGCAAATAATACTTATGGTTAGGTCTGTATCTACTTCGTTCTCAAATAACTTGCATTGACAGGATCGACATTGGGTGATTTTTAGTGATACTTCTTTACATTTAGAAATTGCAATTACTTTGTCTTGTTTGCCATTGCTTGTCAATTGTGCTTCCATTTGTTGTTTTTTTTTGAGCCATTTTGTTGATGTCCCCAACTTGTTGGGAAGTCTGATGTAATAAGAGTAGTGGTTGTTAAGCTTTACGTGCTTACTTGGCATTAGCCTATAAATAGGTGGTTATGGTCAGTAGTCAGTTCTATGATATTTTTCACATTGTATTTTGGAGCTTAGAGCTCTTGTATCTCTAATGGAGATTTTCTCTCTCTAATGAAATACATTCCTAACATCAGCCCAATAAAGAAAATGGAGAAAATTACTGAGTTTTTTTTTCTCAAGATTAAAATAGAAAAAAATAATTTTGTGCTACAGAAACAAGGGAAACGACCAACGAGACACTCAGTGGCAGTGGAAAAATGAATTCAAGTTTGTACACACAGAACCATTAAACCCGGAAATGGAATTGACAGCTCTCCATTTCTGCAATATGGACATTTATTTATTTGATAGTTTTTTTTTCCTGGTATAGTGCCTTAATGCAATATGCATATGATGTTCTTGGCTGAATCTAGGGTTGTACGAGCAATGAATGAAACGTTGAAGCAAAGCCGTCTTCCAAGGGAGCATGTTGATGCACACAGTTTTTGTTCTATGAGTAAAGAAAACAATAAGCCAGATCCTCATGAAAGTGTATGTTCTGTACTTTGCTTTGTTTTTTAAAAGAAAAAAAAAAATAAATAAATAAATAAAATAATAATAATAATACAGGAGCTCAGAATATTTTGTGCGAGAATGAAACAATTGTTCACAAAATTATTTCTATGGAATCTACGTTTATATTCTTTTTGGTTACTAATTGATATCATGATGAAAACTACATTGTTCTTGCACTTAATTGCTTAATGTGTGGTGCCAGTTTTAATTTTTGGATACTTTATGTGGTTATGGTTTAATAAGACAAAAAATCAATTTTCTGCACCATCTCATAAATTCCATCCTCATCATCTAACGCAAACCAATAATGATCTATGTTATGTAGACTCTTCTAAATTTGTGAAGTACTTGTGTCGGACACTTGACACTTAGATAAGGGTATGGAATACGTGTATGATATGCCTAGTTGGACTTGCACCCAAAAAGTATGTATAAGTAATCAAGTTTATTATATAATTATGCATAAGGCTGCCACTTTGTTGGTAATAATTTTACCCCTAATTTAGTAGAGAAGTATAGAGAAGAGGGATCTTCATATGAATTTATAGACTTAGAAATAGTTTACAGTAGGATGTCTAGAGATATAATGTGGTGGGTGTTAGAGATGAATGGTATGACCAAATGGAATATTGATGTGATGACATGTGTTGTGGGATTATAACTATAATTTGATCACTTATAGGAGAAACTAGGGAATTTTCAATCACAATAGAATTGCAGCAAGGGTCAACTTTGAGTCCTTACCTATTTTCCTTAGTCATGGATGAATTAATTAAACACATTCAAGAAAATGACTAATGGTGTATGTTGTTTGCAGAAGATATTATTCTGGTGGATGAAACTAAGGAAAGAATTAACACTAAAATAGAAATATGGAGAGAAACACTCGAGTAAAAATAGTTTAAAATTAGTAGAACTAAAATTGAATATATGGAATGTGACTTTAGTAAGTGAAGATTGAAAATGAGGAGATAAAAAGAGTGAACGTTTTCATTACCTAGGGTCAATTATTAATAAGTATGAAGAGATGCTTCTGACATATTATGTGATCAATAAATAGTAACAAAATTGGAAGAAATTGTTTAGAGAACAACTATTAGCCCAACAATGCTTTACGAGATAAAATGTTGGACAATTAAGAAACATGTGCATAATATGAGTGAAGTTGAGATGGGAATGCTAAGATGCATATATGGTAAGATTATGAAAAATAAAATTAGAATTAAATATATTTTGAAATGATAGAAGTGAGCACCAATTTAAGATCAGATGAGAGAGAACAAACTATGATGCTTTGGTAATATACAATGAAGATTTGTGGGTGCGAAGAGTGATACGATCAATATAAATGGAAATGTTGGGGACAGAGAGGACCTAAAATTGACATGAAATGTGGTACTAAAAGAGGATATGAATTTATTAATCTTTAAACCAAAACAACCACCCTATTTGACCATCTCTTACACCCAAATTGCAAACCACCTCCATAATTCCTGATTTCCTCTCTCCATCCCACTATTGCTATGGCTCTCTAGGCCACATTTTTATGATTCTTCATCTCCTCTATCTACTTTCTCTGGTGGTGTTTGTTTTGAGGGATTGAGCCATGGGATTGGACTAATAGTCCCTCTGGACTAATAGTCCGTTGTTTGATTCAAAATTTTTGCTCCAGACTATTAGTCTCAAATATATTGGACTATTGTGTCCCATGGGGAGGGTGGGACACAAATGGGGGATAAGGGGGGATATGGGATTAGGTGGTAAAGTGACCATTTTGATCCTCTACTATTTAATTATGTATTATATTTAGTAAAATTCAATAAAATTTAAATGTCTCAATTTAAAAATAAAATAATTTTATTTAATTTTTATTCATGTTTTATTTATTTAATTTTTTTAAATTATTTTTTATCGATATTTTATTGATGTTTTGTTTTAAAATTTTGTTTATATTTTATTTAAATTTTAATAGATGTTTTATTTAATTATTATTATTTTTTAAATAAATATATTTAAAATTTTAATTAAAAAACTAACTTATATTTTTATTGATATTTTATTTATTTAATTTTTAAATAATAAATTTATTTAATTGTGCAAAAAATAAAATAGAATAAATTTTTATTTAATCTATCTAAAAATAATTAAAATATTAAAGATATGTTTAATATTGCTATTACTTAGTAAATAATTAAAAAGGGTAAAATAGACATTTTAGCATTTATGCTTCTCCATAATATTCCCAACAAACATAGGATTCAATAGAATAGTCCAATCCAGACATCTAATCCCATGACTAAACAAACATAAGATACAAATCCAGTCCAACTAAATAGTCCGGGAACAATTTATCCTAGGACTAACAGTCCGGTAGATTCCAATCCCCCTTTATCCAGTCCATCCAAATAAACACACCCACCTGCTACACTTGCAATAAGATCAATTCGAGCACACTAGAGGCACCACCTGAACTGCCAACCCACACTGCTGTCATTCACCCGGGTCAGACCCATTAACACAACCACCACCACTGAAACTCACATCACCAAAATCTTCACCTACCATTTCAACAATCCATTGCCAAAATCTCTGTATCTACCATCATCCGCAACCTTACCAGCTACTAGTTCCACTACATCTCACAACTTAGTTTTTACTCGTTGCTCAAGTTGTTCCTCAGCCATTGCAGCCAGCCTCGAACTATCACCAAAAGTTGGCATTGCTTTCTAAATTAGCTCAGCTTTGTTAACTTTCATTTCCTTAAATCACTACAAATCTGTCAGAAATTTCTGTTTCTTTTTGTTTGATTTCTACGGCTCATAAACTCTTCAAAATCATGTTCACTAGTTTCAAAATCGCTGAAGGAAATTTGGCAAGCTTACAAAAGTGCATATTTTAGCTTTGCCAAATTCATATTCATTCTCTCTTCAATTTTCTTTTGCGACGTATTTCTTCATCATATAATTTTTGCAAATCATTACAGATGCTGGGTTATATAATACTTTCAAGTATGATATGTTTATATCTGCATTTGTTTCAGATTCTACTGGTGAATTCCTTTGTTGAACCTACTATATGTACTTCCCGCATGGTGTTGCTTCTAGTGCACATTTAATATTTTTGCCTGCCCTTAATGCCTTCAAGTTTTATTTTATGAGTTTCAACACTTCTTCAGGTTTCCAATTTCCATCATGATGAAATGTCTGGAGAAAAGTCTACAGCATATTATTTTCACAGGACCCAGATGAGTTCTCAGAAAGCAATCTCATTACCTTCATCTCCTCATCTATCTAGGAGACTTGCTTCTGGAATGTGTGAATCAGCAGTACTCACAGGAAATGCTGAGATGACCTCAACCTGGAATAAAGTGCTTGAATCATCAAAGATTCTGAACAAGCCTTTGTTGCCTTTTCAAGAGTGGAACATTGATTTCTCTGAATTGACTGTTGGAATTCGTGTTGGGATTGGTAAGCAACATGCTGGAAAGATAATCTCTAGCTATTTAAGCAAGGTGATGAGAGTTCTCTTAGCAGAGTACTCTTAGTATGTAAGCTTTTATTGCCTTTCGATATCAAATTTGATTACTCTGACTGTTGGGACTTTTACGTTGATTATATAAACCGAGTACTTTTATATGTAACTTATTGTAAGGTGGTGAAAAGTTCATTTGCCCTGGTGATAAATTACTGATCAATGTCATGAAATAATGTGGTGACATAAACAAAAGAGGATTGAATCTATCCAAGTCACAAGTTCACCATTTTCTCTGCTTTTTGCCAAATATGTGACAGCAAGATGTGAAAATATTTTGTTAGAATGGATTATAAATTATTGATTGGTTTTCTATGCACGTAAACAGTTCATTGCTATATATTTTAAATTCCTAGTATGATTCAGAAATGTACATTATAGATGAGGTGGTTCACTTTGGATAATGATATGAAAACAGAATAAGTTTTGGCCAAAAGAAAAGGATATGTTATACTAGTAAGAATAGCTTTTCTTGGATACATTCCATGCTAAAAACCTACAGCAACCATTTATATGTGTTCTCAATGATTATAAATACTGTCATGTTGTTTACTTTATTTTGGTTCTCCAGTGTGAGCAGTTCATTGCTAATAGCATGTATGTGCTTCAAATGCTACTTATTCATTATTTATCAGACACAAAAATTTGGTATGCACTGCCTATCAAAAGTCTGCAAAGAAAATCTAAAATTTGAGAAAACACTTATATAAAATACACTGTTTTTGTTATTATTGTATAGTATAGAACTGATGAGACTACATTATACTTCATACTGCACACAAAAATGCATTTTAGAAACTCATGTATTATTTTTACTAAGACCACCTTTCCACTTCACATTTCAATTTTAAATCACCTTCTGTTAATAAAGTTCTAATCATACTATACAAAGTACATTTAATAGAGAACTTCACATTTATGTCCATGTTTGTATTCTAGTTTTGTCCATGTTTTTATTCTAGAATACTTGTACATCATATATATTAAGACAGCCTGGCAGCTGCCACATTAAATTCTTGCTTTGTCTCTTGGTGATTAGAACTGTATCTACTTTGTGTCTCTCTCACTAAAGAAACATGATTTTGTTGCTTATCATCCCGGTCCTCTTATGTCCCTTTCAAATGAGCACGTATTATTTTGTAAAACTTGAATTCAACACTAAGCCTTTAACCCCATAAATAGATTTTTGGCAACCTATAAAACATCAAAATGTGACATTTGTGTTAGGTACTTGACTTTCAGAATTTTTTTCCTGAATCTTCCAGGGTTTTTTGGAGAAGTTTTTCGTGGCATTTGGAATGGGACAGATGTTGCCATTAAAGTTTTTCTTGAACAAGATTTAACTGTTGAGAACATCGAAGACTTCTGCAATGAGATATCTATTCTAAGGTTTGTTTTAATTGATCTATTTGCAATTGTAGCTTCTCATACTTCCCCTCCTCCACTTTGTTCTTGTCCATGCGATTGACTTTTTCTTTTCTTTTCTTCTTTTCATACACAGCCGTCTACGCCACCCAAATGGTAATGCCCTGCATTTGTTTGACCAACTTAACTCTGCCATATTATGTTAACACTTTACACTGTAGGATTTGTGAATGGAAAAAACACTGAATTTTTTTCTTTTGATGTTCATATCAGAAATAATTGTAGTGTAGTGATATGAAGAAAATAATACATTTTTTTGCAGTTATTTTATTCCTTGGTGCCTGCACAAAGCCTTCTCGGCTGTCCATGGTGACTGAATACATGGAAATGGGATCATTGTATCATTTAATCCATGTGAGTGGGCTGAAAAAGAGACTCAGCTGGAGAAGGAGAGTGAAAATTATATGTGATATATGCAGGTGCATTTGACCATCACCCTTTCCATTGCACTACCTCAACGACATTGCACATTTATGTTGGTACTACAGCTAAATAAGTAATTTATGGTTGCTTTTGGAGCTCAGTATATTTTCTAATGCATCTAGGGTGCCAAGTATGCCTGCCAATGGATCCATTTTTATCGAAATCCGACCTGATAACTGGGTTATTAAGGAGTTATCCGATAACATGATAAGAGTCTGAAACTGACAGATCTGTGCACTAACTGATCTAAAAGAGATTATGTTTAATATAATGTGAACTAATGATGCATCTTGGTCCAAACTTCAAACTAAAGGTTGCCTGATGCCCTTTCTCACTTGCACAGTAACAGCTCTAACTTGGGGTTTTGATGGCTTGATTTGGTTTGGGTCCTTCAGCCTCAACCTTCAGCATAGTCTCTGTCTCTCTCTCCCCCCCTGTCCTCTTTATTCCCCCCTCTCTCTCTCTCTCTCTCTACATATATATATATATATGACTTTTCTTCTCTTTTTGTTTGTGATCTGGTTTTAAAATTTTGATGGCATGACTTTTCTTCTCTCTAATGTTTCCTCTTAAAAAATGATTTCATTTCTTTTCTTACGCCTGTCACAATCCAATGGAGATTAAAAGTAAAATGAACTGAATTATCTAGTGCTTTTATCATGACCTTGGACTGGGGGGAAACAAACTCAAATTTATCCGCATGGTCTTTGGCATTCTAATTAAATTTATTTCTCTTCTGATGGTTTAGGGGTCTGATGTGCATACATCGGATGAAAATAGCCCATCGTGATCTAAAGAGTGCAAATTGCCTTGTGGACAAGCATTGGACAGTTAAGATATGCGATTTTGGGCTCTCTAGGGTGCTGACAACCAGACCTATGAGAGATGCTTCCTCTGCAGGAACTCCAGAGTGGATGGCTCCTGAACTCATCCACAATGAACCCTTCACAGAGAAATGTGATATTTTCAGCCTTGGCGTTATAATATGGGAGCTATGCACTCTTAATAGACCATGGGAAGGCATACCATCAGTTCAAGTTGGTGGTTTCTGTTTTATTTATTCATTTATTTTTCCTTTTTTGTTTTTTGTTTCCTAATCCCTTGGTTGATATGTATTGTTTACACTTTCAGGTGGTTTATGCGGTTGCTAATGATGGATTGAGGCTAGAAATTCCTGAAGGTCCCTTGGGGAAGCTAATTGCAGGTCTGTCAAAGAAACTTATAATGTTTCCTTCTTTGTGCTACCCTAATTTCCATCTCTCATATTTTTTAGAAAAATGTTGTTCCAGATTGCTGGTCTGAACCGGATGAACGACCCAGCTGTGAGGATATTCTTTCACGTTTGCTCAACTGCGAGTATATACTATGCTGATTTGATTCTTGTGTTTGTCTGAAAGAAGCAGTAGAACTGTTGAGTTTATAATTGGGGGAAGTTGTAAATGATTGTTAATTTCAGAGCATTGATCATCTTTACGTCCAATCAATTTCCATCTCTCTCTCTCTCTCTCTCACACACACACTCACACACACACCTTGTGTGTGCCGAGGAGCATTCTTACACAGGTCTCTGTGATTTTGTTGTTGTTCTTTCAGTTTAGTAAGCTTGAAGACAGGCTGTAATTAATAAACGGATATTATTGTGGTGATGCTTGTTAATTTCAGAGTCCTCCAAACTACTATGAAACTAGCACAAACTTTTCAACATTTATGTGGATTTTTTAATTCTGATCTTCTTCTGCATTATTTATGGGAGAGGAAACAAGAATTTGCTGGTTTCACATCAAGGATTAGAAAGGTTAGTGTAACCTATTCTCAGTCTGGTATGTGATGCCTATTCAGGGCATCCTCAAATCGACAGCATGAATCAACTCGCATCTCTGTGCTTGTATCATTATCTGGTGCCGGGTAGTAATCTTCTCTCAGTTGTACATCCCTGATATTTGGAATTCTTAGTAGAAACATCATGAAGTGTTCGTTAGCTGTCCCATGAATGAAAAGTTTCCTAAGACTCGAACATTCTGCGAGTAATCCTGCTGCAGGGAGAGAGAGGCTTCTCTGATTAACATCCCTGTCTTGTGGAGGCCAATAATCGAGCTCAGAGAGATTGAAATTCTGAATCCCATTAAGGTAAAACCGTTCCCACAGGCTGAGATCCATATGCCCAGAAGGGGCAGTTAGAGCAAACCCTATTGCACCACCACAATCCAGATGCATCTTTGATAGCCGAGGATACCTTGCCAGTGAACTCAATCCAAATGCCTTCACATAAGGTCTTGACTGGTATCTGCAATCGCCTTCGATTATGATTTCTATCTCTTCAAGCACCGGGCAATTCTCTAACCCCAACAAGGCCAAAGGAGTGAGCAACTTACCAACGGCAATCCAAAGCGATAGATACTGAAGCTGAGACCAAGTCCTGCCAGAGACTTCATTGCCTCTCCCTTGAATTTGAGTGTAGTACACATCCAAGTACTTACATTGCTTCCCCGAGTATGTTTCTTCCCATATGACATCTCTCCTATTTGTTTGTACGTTCTTGAAAACTGCTGATTGATTTGAACTGCTGGCCTCCTCTTCCAATGCTTGGTTGCTTTCCCACATGCAATCAAGGTGAAGTCGCTGGATTTGGCTTTGAATTGGTTCCAATGCACGTAATGAGGCCTGAGTGTTGAGATGTTTACAGCTAGAGATCTTCACATTGATCAGAGTTTGCCGAAGGATTTGAGCCATTTTATTGATCCCTATTTCAGTGATCTTCTTGCATCCTTGATCCTCAAACTTGGCCAATTTGGGGCAACCAAAAGAGATTGTTATCAAACAAGCATCAGTCAAGTCCATGGAGTTCTTGATGGACAGGGATTCCAACCCTTTACAGAGTGCAACCCCGTCGGGATGAGGAGCTATTCCACGACAGATTCCATGGAACTTTCCCAGTTTTAAAGATTTGAGCCGGGGACACTTGGAACTAAGCAGCTCCAGTGCTGGCCAGATATCTCTGACATTCTGGCAGACATCAAGAACCAATTCTTCATGTAACGGTAAGCTAGCAAAGAGGTGCCCAAGTATGATATGGTTGATTCTAGCATCCAACGAAGCACTTTCATCGTCTTCTGGATCAGATCTAGCATTTGATATAGAAGAAATATCAGCAATATCATAGAGTTGATCATGACGATGATATCATTGAGTTTTCATTGGTGAAGATAACGAAAGTAATGGTGAAACTGGCATTTTATAGATGAATAGTGTGGCTGACTCTCGGGTTGAAGAGATTCATAAAGGTAAGGTGGCATGGCAAGAGAGAGGCACGGGCGGAGAGAGGAAGAGAGAATCTCTAAGCAGGTGTGGGGATGAAGAAAAATGTGCTTCTAGTGGAAACTAGTGGGCTCAGAAGTGGAAGAATGTGTCAGTGATACAGTAGTCGAAACCAGAGCCGGGGGGGGGAAAAGTTCGTTGTATAAACCAAGAGAGAGAGAGAGAGAGAGAGTATCAGTGAGTGCTGGGGAGGATGACAAAGATACAGTGAAGCAAATCAGGCTTGACTGGTGGTTGGTTTGCCACTTGCCAAAAAGGGTTGCCCATGTGGTTGTAGTCCATTCCCCTTTTCCTTATTCCTTTGCACTTTCTCCCATTTCTTTGGCCTCTTTTGCACTATCTCATGTTCTCTTTTTCTCTCAAAAAATATCATTGTCTGTCTATTTTTATCTCCCTTGGTGTCAAAATTCTCGTATCTTAGGGTGGCAAAAAAAAGGAAAAAAATAACTTAAATTTGTGGGACAGTTTTTTGCACATGATTAGTAGAAGTCACCCTGCATCCTCAATGAAAATCCTGATTTGCCATATGGGTCTTTCGTGTTCTTATTTGTCATTGATGACTTAATAAATCATGTGGAATATCTGTGGAGAAATTGAAAGTTCCAATGGATGTAGATTATAGGTTGAATTTTGATGATGGCTTTAAGATCCTCTGTTATTGCATTTTACCTAGGTTGGCCTTGGATTTGTTACAGTCATTCCATAGGCAAATTCCCTTTTCCTGTTCCAGGTTTTAACTCATTTGTTGAGAATGGATAGATGAGCATCACAATATGTGCCGATTTAATATTGCTTTTGATAGATATATGTATTTATTTCTTCTCAGCCATACAATCTTGGAAATCATTCATAAAGCATCTCCTACAGCTGCATAAAGGTAGGGACACCTTCCCAAATGCTAATCCAACTCTGCATAGCTTTCTTTTCTGTTGGTTCATGGACTTATCATCTTATGTTTCAAGATTCTCTCTTCTTTTTTTTTTTTCCTAAGACGACAAAATTGTTCATAAACAATAACTATAATTTTACCATTTTTGTGGTTGCAGGGACTCTAATGTGGATCCCATCTGATACATCTGTTGCTGCCCACCGTACGATTCTTTGCTCATTTTCCTTTCTCTCCAAATTATCTGCTCACTGGATTCTATTCAAGTCTATGTTCTGTCAAGAAGGTTCTGGATTATTCTGGATTATGGGTCAATTGAAGGAAGTTAGTTAGGTAGTGGTTGAGAGATTAGTTAGTCAGTCAGTTACATCAGTTGTGAATTAGTTAGTCAGTTACATCAGTTGTGAATTAGTTAGGCAGTTAGAAGGGTGAGGCAAAGAAGTAGTTATAAATAATTGAGGAACTCCCATATGGGGGGTATGTAAAATTCTGAAAAATAATACAGATTTTGTGCTTTCTTCCTTAAGCCTTTGCTTCTTCTTCCCTAGCTACTACATTGGTATCAGAGCCCCAGGTTCTTGGCCTGTTAATCCTCTGCTTCGACTGAACTAGAGCAGCCCAGGAAGCTAAAAACATTGAGGAGACATTACGCTCATTAAAGGAGGGTAATGAGAGAAATGCGAAGGAAATCGGGGAAATCAGGAGTTCTCTCAAAGATTTGGGGGATATCAAGGAATTGATTGCTGCCATGAGTATGAAGTATGATCAAATGGCAGGACACATTTATGGGAAACAGCATGTAGATCGGAGTGACAATTCTAGAATGCTCCGCCAAGAACAGTCAGGGGTTTCTCCAGTAAGGGTTCAAGCCCGTGGGGATTTTCAAGCTCGTGGGGAAAGGATAGACTACCAATCTCATCAACGATTTGCGAAGATTGAATTTCCTCGTTTCTATGGTGATAATCCAACTGGTTGGCTTTATAAATGTGAAAGATTTTTTGAGTACAATACTGTTGACAATCTTGATAAAGTGAAATTGGCATCTCTTCATTTGGAGGACTCGTCTTTGCAGTGGTTTCAATGGTTTGAAAGATGCCATCATCATATTACTTGGGATTTGTTTACACAAGGACTTCTATCAAGATTTGGCCCAAATTCATATGAAGATGCAATGGGTAACCTAACCAAATTAAAGCAGACCACTACTGTGAGAGCTTACCAAGAACAGTTTGAGGTTTTGGCGAACAAAACTCAAAACCTCCCTGAAACTTTCTTTATTAGTTGTTTCATAAGTGGTCTTAAGGATGAAATTCAACCAGGGGTATTAATGTTTAAACCAACCTCTATCACTCAGGCTATTGGGTTGGCAAAACTTCAAGAAACAAGTATTGAAGCCATTACCAAGAAGACTAGGTTGGGAACCAAATCAGAAGGCATCCCTCCTTTTTCTGTAAACAGGTCACAAGTGGGTAATGGGGGATATGTTCGAAAGGAGTTATCTAAGGAATTGGAGGAAAAGAAGGCCAAAGGGTTATGTTTTAAGTGCAATGAGAGATATACTAAAGGGCATGTGTGTAAAAAAAACAATTGTATGTTATGGAAGGAGGAGAAGATGGGGAGGAAGATGATCAACTACCAGTTCTTGATGAAGATAAACGAGAAGATGAGGATCAGTTATCTGGGGAGGAACTGCAGATTTCTTTGAATGCTTTAACTGGTACACTCTCTTATATAGCACATGACGAAGAGGCCGACACGCGCACTGTCGATCACGTGCATCGCCGCGTGTCTGGCACGCCTTTTGATGGCACGTCTTTTTATAGATTGGGCACGCCTTTTGATGGCACGCCTTTTTATGGATTGGGCACGCCTTTTGATGGCACATTTTTTGAAAGATTGGGCACACCTTTTGAGAGTGCAACTTTTACAACGGTCCGACATGACCCTATAAACTGTCTCGACATTTGATTCCGGTTAGCTTTTTCAAGGGTCCGACAAGACTCTATAAACTGTCCCGACATTGATTCCGGTTCGCATAAAGTGTCCTCTACAACGTTATGACACCCCCATACAGTGTCCTCTACAACGTTATGACACCGCCATCCAGTGTCCTCTACCACGTTATGACACCACCTTTCAGTGTTTTCACCAACGGTCTGACACGACCATACAGTGTCTCCTATCTTTTTTTTTTATTATTTTTATGTATTTTCTTGTTTTGTTCCTCTCTTCAAACTCAAGTTGGTTAGTTTCTATCCTCCTTGAGTTTGCGGGGGGCTGTTAGAATTTACCATTGACCACCAAAGCCTGAAATATCTTTTGGAGTAGAGAGTGGGAACTCCTTTCCAGCAAAAATGGGTGACCAAACTATTGGGTTTTGACTACACTATCACATACAAATGTGGGAAAGATAACCAAGCTACTGATGCTTTGTCCAGGAAAGAAGAGTTGGTCAATACGGCTGATTCAATAGCTATGATTCATGCTTTATCTTGTATCTCTACCAGTTGGTTGGCTGAAGTTAAGCTCAGTTGGAGTGAAGATGCTAACATTCAACAGTTGATATTGGCCCTGCAGCAAGGTCAAGCTCATGCTGGTTATGCTTGGGACCATGATATTTTAACCTACCATGGTAGGTTGGTAGTTGGGAACTCAGCCCTCAAGATGCAACTTATCCAGGACTTCCATTCTTCACCTTTGGGAGGACACTCGGGAATAATCAAGACCACAACAAGACTGCATAGGAGTTTTTATTGGAAGGGCCTACAGCAGGATGTGGCTCAGTTCATTTCTGAATGTGATACATGTCAGAGGTACAAAAGTGAAAATGTCAAGTATCTAGGCCTATTGCAGCCCCTTCCCATTCCTAATAGGGTATGGTCTGATATTTCCATGGATTTCATTGAAGGTTTACCAAATTCTCAAGGCAAGACTGTGATCTTTGTAGTAGTCGATAGGTTGTCAAAATATGGCCATTTCATGGCTTTATCACATCCTTATACCGCTACAAATGTGGCCAAAGTTTTCTTTGATCAAGTGTTTAAGTTGCATGGTCTTCCTTCTACCATTGTTTCAGATAGAGATGCTGTGTTTACTAGCCATTTCTGGCATGAACTTTTCACTTTACAGGGCTGTAAGCTGTGCCTTAGCACTGCTTATCACCCTCAAACGGATGGTCAAACTGAAATTCTGAACAAATGTTTGGAGAACTACCTCAGGTGTATGTCTGGAGACTGTCCTAGGCAGTGGGCTAAGTGGCTCTCTTTAGCTGAGTGGTGGTATAATACCACCTATCATGCTGCCACCAAAACTACTCCTTACTTTGCAGTCTATGGACAAGAACCTCCTGACCATACTTTTTGCCTTTCCACACCTTCTTCAGTAGCAGTTGTGGATAATTGGGTAAAAGAGAGGGCTGCTATTATCAAGACCTTGAGGGAGCATTTAACTCAGGCACAGCAGAGGATGAAACATTATGCTGATAAGGGCAGGTCTGAAAGGGAATTTGACATTGGGGACTGGGTGTTCCTTCGGTTACAACCTTATAAGCAGACTACAGTGGCTTTGCAGAGAAATATGAAGCTCCAAGGTTTTATGGACCATATCAGGTCTTGGAAAGGGTAGGTGCAGTAGCTTATAAGCTGGAGTTACCAACAACTACTAAAATTCACCCTGTTTTTCATGTCTCACTGCTTAAGAAGAAAATCGGGACTAATGTGTTAGCTCACACTACTCTTCCCCCAGTAGGTCTTGAGGGAACTTTGCAACTGGAACCTATGGCTGTCTTGGATAGGAGGATGGTTAAGCGGGGTAATAAGGCTGTGGTTCAGTGGTTAGTCCAATGGACGAATTCTTTTCCAGAGGATGCTACGTGGGTTGATCATTCTGAGATAGAAGCAAAATATCCTCAATTTCAGCCAAGGCTATTTTTCAAGCAGCAGGGAATGTTATGTCAAGAAGGTTCTGGATTATGGGTCAATTGAGGGAAGTTAGTTAGGTAGTGGTTGAGAGATTAGTTAGTCAGTCAGTTACATCAGTTGTGAATTAGTTAGGCAGTTAGAAGGGTGAGGCAAAGAAGTAGTTATAAATAATTGAGGAACTCCCATATGGGGGGTATGTAAAATTCTGAAAAATAATACAGATTTTGTGCTTTCTTCCTTAAGCCTTTGCTTCTTCTTCCCTAGCTACTACAGTCTAACAGGGTGAGAATGACTGTGACCATTATGATCATAAACATATTAGATGAATCATCAAGGAAAATGAGTTCTTTGCACTTATGTTAAAAAACCTCCATTGTTACATGTCGAGCATTATTGATTTTAGCTTTTCATCTTTGTATCATATGGGTTACTAAGATATAGGTGGAGGTATTGGTTTTATTCAACTCTACTCACATAAATTGCATAAGGTATAGTGTGAGGTGACTTTTCTGTGATTTCAAAATATTCTAGATGAATTTTTTATATATAACCATTCTATTTAATAGATCATTTTCCATTTCATAACAAGATGGCTTCATTATCTTACTATTATGGTGAATATGTTAAGACCACATTTGCTTTCCCAAGTTATGCTCTAATAAAATGGAATCCCAAAGAAAGAAAAAAAAGAAAAAGAAAAAAAAGAAGTGGTTATTAGAGGGCCGGAATTGGGTTAAATAATCATGAGATAAAGATTTAAATTTTTTAATTCAGTATAATGAATTCTAAGGGCGCTTTTTATTTTGCATATATCAAATTATCTTGTCCCATGAGAAAAAGTGGGACAATTTATTTTAAGATAGCACTTTTTGTCGTAAAATTTTAAAGATTTCTCTCCTTGGAATTAGTTTTCTGAAGATTGTAATTCAAGAATAACTTATCTCACCTAATCCTACCTACAAATCCAAACTGGCCTATATCTATCTCACCACGATTAGCCTAGAAAAGAACAGTGTATTATTAAATGAAGAAATTAAAACCATACCAATTTTTGCATATAGAAAATTTTCAACCGATAAAATTAGTTAAAGCCATACCAATTTTTTTTGCAAATTTATTTATGTGGTCTTCCAATTAATGCGGTAGTTTATACCTTTGTGTATATTTTTTACTATTGAGGGATTCTTATAAGATTAGGTTTTGATGCATACTAATCTCTATTTGCATTGGCCATCATCAATTTGTGATTCTTGTATTGTTGGTGTTAATGGATCTTATTCTCTCAACTTTGTGAAGAGGCTATAGATAGCCTAATCTGTACGTGTGCTCATACTATGATGGGTACTTCTCAAAGGACATGCCATGGTAGAGACATGCTCTTTGTTTGATAGCTATATTAGCCATTCACTAAAATGGAGAATCATTACTTCTAGAGTTTTTTTTTTTTTTGTTTTGTTTGGTGACATTCAGTAAGATGTTAGCAAGTCAGTAAGTTAGATTAACACAACATAGTATTTGACACTTCTCTATAAACTTGAACCCCAAACTCTCTTCGCTCACTTGTTCTCTTTTCTTATTAACACTATTTCTATTTTTTATTTTTTATTTTTATTTTTTAAAAAGAGTAAAAAGAAGAAAGACAAAAAAAAACTTAGGGGTTGTTTGGGATAAACTAAATAAGTGTAGTTTTTTATTTTTTATGAAATATGGGTTGGGTTTGAAGTGATATGATAGAAAGATGATGTAACTTAAATAGGACAGTGATTTTTTAACTTTTTAACTTTTTTTGATTATGCCAAACCAAGCCTTAGTCTTAGATGTGAAAACAATTTTGTTCACCCAACTTTAAAAGTGGATGAAAATAACCCTTTTCCATGATCGATTATTTTAAGGAGAGTTTTATTCACCCAGCTATAGGTGGATGAACAAAATTAAATTTTGTTAATCGTCGATGCATCCAATAAGCGGTGAATAAAATGCAAATAATGTTGAAAAACTAATATAACTCCAATATATACTTTTTACATATTTTTATACACTTTTACATATACCAAGATTTTTCCCTCACCAATTAAACTGGTCGTTGGTTTCATTTTTCATTTTACTGTGTTTGGATACAGATTTGGGAAGGAAAAAAAATGTGAAGATATTGTAAGTGAAATACAAATTAGATTTTTTTTTTTCAAATTTTAATCTAAATTCATAAACCAAACACAGCGTTAAAAAATTAGATATAGAAGACAGGCCTCTTATCCCATTTCCTGCTTGCAAATGACTGATTTCTTGTCTTGCAAACAGACAGCTTTCTTTCTTGCATTGTCTTTCCTTGGCTGGTTACTAAAAGGAAATTAGGGACGAAAATAATAAATGTTTATTTTATTTTATTTTTTAAGAAATCTTTACTTTCAGATATTGTGTACTTTTTGGAGAGTTTATTCTGGTATTCGGTACATTTTCTGCTTATAGTTTTTAAAATAAAATTAACTTAAACAAGTTTATATAAATAATAATAAAATAAGAAAGGAAAAAAAAACTATTTATGTTGAAAATTAGGGAAACGGTTCTTTTAACTCCGGTTGTTTGTTTCAAATTCAAAAAAATAAATAAAAATAAATAAAAAAATAAAAAAATAAAAATAAAATTAAAATTAAAAATCCAATGGTCTAATTATCAACTTATGCTCAAATGAAATACAAGTTCAAAACCGAAATTGTGCATTCACTACTTCTGTCATTCACTTATTCCCAACGCAACGCCTACCCCGACAGAGGAGGGAAAAGGAAAACTGTATTCATACATAAAAGTTTATACAATTTTTTTTACAAAAATAGTATGACAATGTCATCTTTATAAATAAATACGTCTTTGTAGATGTTTTATTTTAAATAAAAGGTCCACATCATACCACATCATTTTGTATGAATTTTTTATTTGTATATTATTACTCGACTGAAAAATATTAAGAATGTATATGTCAATATAATGAGGCCACTAAGACTGTGTTTTGGATCATGGATTTGGATATGGATTTGAAAAGTATAAGATAAAAAATAAGTGATGTGAATGAATTTCACTTACATTTCACACAGCCTTTTTTTTTTTTTTGTGTAAATTTCTAGCCAAATTTATTTATCAAACATAACTTTTCATAGATTTGAAAAGGAAAAGGAAAAAACTGTGAAAGATGTGTGAAATACAATTATATTTCATTCACATTTTATCCGTATTTTTTTCTTGTCCTTTCTAAATTCATACACAATATAAAATTATCTTCAATTTATGGAGATAACAATCTATCTTCTTCTGTAAAACATTCTCAATCTCACTTCTTAACTCCACAGCTCCTCGGATGTAAAGGTTATATAAATCCAAAATATATATACATACATCAGCGGATCAAGTTAATAACCAATAGAAATTCCCAATTCCATAGCTACATAACCGTCTCTAGAGCCCCCCATCAGTAGGGTGGGCGTGTACTACGTAATCTCTAATTCGTCATCTATTTGTTAGATTGACATATTAGAGAAAATTAATCCGTATTCATTCGCTAATTCAGCGGATGTGCATCGAGCAGATTGACAAATTGACAGATGGATGCCAATTGATTTGACAGTTTAAAATTTTATAAATTTTATAAATAATTCAATTTGTGCACTTTCTAAAAAAAAATAAAATAAAATATTACAGTCAATAACTTAAAAAAATATTACAATCACTGCATATCTCATCCAAAAAAAGAAAGTTTAAAATTTTAGAATATTACAAATCTCATCCACTTATTACAATCACAACATATCTCATCCACATAAAGTATTACAATCTATAGTTCTTAAAATATAAAAATAATTCAAACCACCAAAACCATGAATACGCAGTAGCAGAGATTGTATGCCTCTGTATTTTGTTACATCTATATCTGTTTTTGAAAATAAAAATCAACCAACATATATCATCTTTTTTATTTATTATTTTTAGAGTTAGATTTAAAAATCAAAAAATATAGATAAATAATACATTTATTTTTTTTCAATTCAAAAAATATATTCAAGTTGAAAACTCTTTTTCAACAGAATATTTAAACTCTTTTTTAATTGAAAATACAAATAAAATATTTAAACAAATTGAAAACACAAAGTCTTACAAATTACTAGGGATGCTCACCGTTTAGTGGTTTGAGTGTGGCCAAAAGAACCTCAAATCCGTCATCCGTCCAAAACTAGGCGGATTGGAAAAAATCAATCCACAATCGTCTGCTCGTCAGCACGCATCCGTCCAAAATGCGGTGGATCAGTTCTGTTCGGTCGGTTTGGACAGATCGACATATCTGCTACCCACCCCTAACTATCAACTACATTGGTCACAATGATTTGTGGGCTTGTTCGATTCCGATATAACAACATAGGATTCGATTGTTAAAAACGGCGTACCTAGTATATGAAACTACCGCTTAAGCGGAGTCTGGAAAAGAATTGATGTATGCAACCTTACTAGGGTTACAAATGAACAGAGCCGTTCGTGAACAGGCTCGAGCTTGACTCAGTAAGAGCTCGTTCGAACGCGGTTCGTTAATTTTTTTCTGCATTCGAGCTCGAGCTCATTAAATTTTTAATGAACAAGCCCAAACATTCTAAAGTTCGGCTTGCTAGCTGACTCGTTTAATATTTATTATTTATATATTAAATAATATAAAAATATGTATAAAAAATAAGAGAAATATGCTATTTATATATTTAAAAAATATAAATGTAAATAATAATTAACTATAGATAGTACATTTATATAATAGTGGTAGTAGATATTATTATTTTAGTAAAATATAGACTTTTTTTTAATATGTTTATATATATTGTAATTTGTATATATAATTGTATAATCAAAATTTTAATTGTAACTTTAGCCCCACATTCAAGTATGAATTTATAAATTTTTTGGCTCGTTAAGGCTCGTGAACAGGCTCAAGCTTGAGTTGAGCCTAAGCCAACTTGGCTCGAGCTCGGTTCGTTAAATTTTTATTCAACTCGAGCTCTAGCTCGTTAAAATCTTAATAAACAAGCCCAAACATACTAAAGATTGGCTCAGCACGGCTTGTTTGCAACCCTAAACCTTACCTCCGCAAGCGGAAAGGCTGTTTCTGCGACTCAAACCCGTGACCTCCGGGTCACCAAGAGATAACTTTATTGTTACGCCAGGCCCGTGACCTCCAGGATTGGACGGTTAATCCTATGAAATTCATATTTTGGATCACATAAATGGCATCTCGCTTAGTAATACGTAAGACTCTTTATCCTACAAAATTGCAGGATATAGGGTAGGTATTAACAATCCCATACATAATTATCCCATGAGATTATTAATTCCATGAGATTGTTAATCCCATCACTAAATACTCCAACTAATCAAACAAGGCCTGTAAGTATCGAACACTACAACTTATAGATCTTGCAAAACATATATCAGAAATTTGTGCAGGCACATAGGAAAACAATTAAAGTTCTCAAAGTCAGAACCAAAATGTAGCAAGTTCTCTAGCATGTTAAAAAACTGACCTCAAAGTCTCATGAGTTTTCTTTTTGTATTTAGCATTTTTCATTGTTTGCAGGATGTTCCTTCATTTTCAACCTCTCCTTCATTCAGTAATGGATCAATTATCACAAAATCATCGCCTGAACTTCAAAATCAATATGGATCATCTCAAACTGAAACACACAGTTTACCTCTCATTACCACATGGAGCACAAGGTATCCATTGAAGGATTATAATACAAACTTGGACTCCGACAGAGAAATTCAGACATGCACTATGGAATCCGTTAACAACAAATGAAACCGGGATTCTTTTCAATCAGTAAACACCTTCTGTTAACCATTTTCTGCTGAAAAAATAGCCAATTTACACAGGCTACCGACTAGGACACATCAAATAGCTCACACTTGAGTAATCAAATCTCTCCTAAGCACTACTCCAAAGTAAGTCTGACTATCTTTAGACTACTCTACGGCTTCATATAACTCAGTTCATAGATAATAAATGAAGTTACAGGTAAGGGACGTAATGAGAATAATGTTTGTAAGGTCACCAAATCCAAAGAACTTAATTTAAGGATTACCTCACAAGTTTGGCTTTTCATCAAGCAATGTTTGCAAGGTCTCCAAATCCAAATATGTCACAAGGAACCCAAGAGGGTATTCCATCAGATCTAAGCTTCAGCTCAAACTAAACAAATTGATATCAACAAAATATGTGATGACTTATCGAGTTAATGATGCATCTCTTAAGATAATGCTAGTAACAGTAAACTGCATTCATAAAACAAAGAGGATGCACAGAACCTCAACATGTAAAAAAATAAAAATAAATAATTTGTTCACTAAATTGGCTGCAGTATACAACTAGGTGCAATATTGTCAGATGAATATCTTAGAGCACAATGACAACTAATCCATTACCAAAGTATCGTCCTTCTACATTGAACGGTAAGTGAAATTTGCAAAATAATAAACTTCATTTGAAACTTTTCTCATTTTAATTCGAAGTATTAATAGATACACCTATTTTGGTTCTTGGAAAGATGATTGTTGAAATAAAAAGGTTCTGGATGGGTCAGATATAATTTATTTTGTCTTTCCCTCATTCTTTGCACATTGTTAACACATCTAACGCCAATTGGAATTCCAAACTACAACAATTTACACCGATTGAGATTGCAATTTATAATTTCAAGAACAACAGAGGCCGATATCAACTTCCATCCAGTAAAACTTGTCAATTTGACATATGGGGATTATTATTGAAAAAGTTTCTTCATTCAATAATTGCACAATGTAACAACTACAAGAACTATGAATCCCCCCCCGAAACAAGTATATATAACATTCATCACTTTCCCTTCCCCTTTCAAAAATTGCAAGTTCTATCGAAAAGTTTTAACAAATAAGTCAAAGAACTTCCCTTTTAAGGTGCTCTAGGATCCGTCCCATGCTGCCAAACGTAAACAAGCTCATCCCATCCAGTGCTGGCCAAAAGCCCCTCAACAAGCACACTCATATCCACTCCAACTGCAAACTCTGTGTGATGATCATACCTCCCAATCAGAGCATCCTCCACCATATAGTCCCACAAACAAACCGTCATGTCATACGAACACGAAGCAATCAAGCTTCCCCTGTGGGGTGAAAACTTCACCTTCCTCACAGCGTAGCTGTGACCGTTGAGCACGGCCACTGGAACCCGAAAACTTCTCACATCCCACACCTTAATTGTCTTGTCAACTGAGGCTGTGGCAATGACACAATCATCATATTTGTTCCAATCACAGGAGAGGATTTCAAATTCATGGGCAGGCAGTATCATAGTTGAACCGGGTTCACGCACATCCCATACACGCACAGTGCAGTCGCCGGAGGCTGAGGCAAAGACGTCCGCATGGCGGGGATTCCAGGCAGACGAGTAGACACAGTAAGCATGTTCCTTGCAAAGGGAAAAACACAGACAAATAGAATCAACACACATAGAGAATGGCCACTCAATTTATAATTTTGATCAAGAGTATTCAAAAACTTGAATTAAAATGTATATAAAATAAATCACACTTATCTATATTTATCATTCATTTCCGATAAATCTCCTAATTTAAAATTTTCAGATCACAAATAAAAAAAAAAGAGCTTTAATATGTTAATATTATTGTTTCAATGCAATATATATATTTGAAGTTCTACAGTTGCTTCGAAGAGTCATCCCACTCAACTTGGTTTTGATGGAGATTGAAGGCAGTTTTTTTTTTTAGTGTCATAATTCAAAATAAGCTATATTTACCAATAGAGTTATCTTTTGGGTAAATACCTTATTTTTTAAATTTATCTAAGGGTAGCTTTTTTGAAAAAAATTTGTATACTGATACGGAACTGGTTTGTATCAAGAAAAGTACTCAAAAAATGAAATGTATGAACTCGATGCCCTTTGAGTCCCAACTTCAAATTTATATCATAACACTTCACTTTTTGAGCACCTTTTACTGGGTATGTAATGTTGTTAATGAATGTATTATATTCAGAATTAAAAGAGATTGTGAGTGAATTGTAGAGTGAATGTGAAAAGTTTGAACTGAGTACGGTGTTCAAGCTTTGGAAGATGTTGAAAATATATAAACTTGGATATTCAAATTATAAAGAATAGACTAATTAACATATACATTATCTATATATACAAAGAAAAACAAAGTTAGGGCATTCCCTAAGGTTGTAGAACCTGATGAAGGTGAAACGATACAAATCATGAATCGAGCTGTTGACAAACACAATTCAAAACAATTCATGATTTTCTCCATCAATTAAACCCAAATCATGAATTGCGCTGTTGACTAACACAATTCAAACAATTCATGATTTCCTCCATCAATTAACCCAAATTCTCATTAACCCAAATCATGAATTGAGAGCAATTCAGACAATTCAAGATTTTCTCAATCCATTAAACCCAAAATTTCCATTGACCCAAATCGATGAATACCTTAAAGGTGCGAACACTGGTGGGTCGATCGATAGTCCAGAGCTTGATAGTATCGTCCCAGGACGAGGTGATAAAGGAGTCTCGGCGAACTGGGTTGTAATCTACGGAATGGGTTTCGCGAGTGTGTTCATGGAGGGATCGAACTGGGTTCGCAGTAGGAGGGAGAGAGAGGTCGTAGAGCTTGACAGAGCCGTCGGCGACGGCGGCGACGAGGAGGGAGTCGTGGGATTCGGACCAGGCTAGGTCGTAGACGCCGTCGGCGGTGTCGAAGGCGGCGAATTGGGAGATGGGTCCGGCGGGAGAGAGGTCAAGGACGTGGAGGCGCCCGTTGCCGAGGATGCCGAAGTTCTGGGAGGTGGCCACGGCGAGGCGTTGCTCGAAAAAGGGACTGAATTTCACGGCGTAGCCATTGAAAGGGGCTTTGAAGACTGGCATGCTGGTGCAAGGTTTTTCGATCAGAGGGGTCTTTCTTTTCTCTTTTTTGGTTTTTTAGTTTGGAAAATGTTTGGGCAAATTACCAACGTCAACTAAAATATGAAATTTGGTGAGGATTGAGAAATTAAACTTCATATTTACATAATAAATTATTTTCTTATTTGTTATGTAAATATAAATATGAGAGAATAATTTGTAATTTTTCAGATTTCAAAAAAAAATTATATTTTAGTCAAATTTCGAGAGAGTGTTAGTAATTTGTCCAAAATTGTCCAAAATATTATAGGGTGCGCCACTATGACATAGGATTCGTTTGCAAGGTGGGTGAGTTTTTTGATTTTTTAATTATTTTAGTCAAGAATTAAAAAGTTTGTTTGGGATCGACTTTTTGACTTTTGTGAGAAAAAAATGAAATGATTATGATTTGGATGTGATATTTTGTCTTATTGAACTAAAAAATCTATTTTGTGACTAAATAGTCAAAAAGCTAAAAAATTTGACATACTAAACGATGGCATAATATCATAATTTTAAAAAAATGCTATAATTAAAATTAAAAAAAAGAGATTTATTAGAAAATGTTTTTTTAGGGGTTTGTATCTCAATTAGTCCATAAGATATTCTTGTATTTCAATAAGTCTTGTTATTTGAACATTTTAATTTTTCAAATCCTAATTCTCATATTTACGTATTTTATGGATATTTTCACCTTTACAAATATTTTTTGAAGGATTACCAATTTGGTGATGTGAACATTTATATGTTACGATATGAATATTCACATTGACATGTTAACATTCACATTAATAGTTTGAACATTTACATTGACGATGTAAACATTCACATCACGGAACGTTAACACTGTAAATATAAATATTATTAGAGGTATTTTGATAAATATGTCACTCATAGGATTTATTGAAACATAAAAAAATAATGTGAATTAAATAGAACGTAAATAGGTGAAAAGAGATTTATGAAAAAGTATCCTTTAAAAAAAATGTTATAATTAACAAAAATGTCTAAGACCACCTTTTTTTCCCACCCCTTTGACCCCCTCTCTCTCTCATTGGTTGGATTTTCTTTTTCTTTTTTGTGTGTTTCTCTTGTCCTCCAATCACCACCTGCCACATGTGTGTGGGGTGGTGGGAGTGGTGATTGAAGGGGGTCTCCATCACTCCTCTATGATTAAATATGTATGTGATAAAAAAAAAGAAGTCATAATTAAATATTTAAAATAATATAATAAATAAAAAAATTAATTATAACTTAAAAAATGATATAATTAAATATATCTATATAATAAGGAATGATAGTTTTTGAATCCTGATGGGACTTTTATCTCTTTGTCAAAATGTAAACCGTTAGATTGATTCAATCCAAAGGCTGAAAATGTCTCTCATTTGTCCTATTCAATCATAAGATCTAATGGTCCAAAATGTAATCTGATGGCTCTGTTTTTTATAACACACATCCCTCTCTCTCTCTCACGTACTCCTCTCTTCTCTCTCTGATTTCAAATTTTGAACCCACACCCTCTCTCTCTACCTCCCTTGGAGCCCATTTCCTTGCTCTTCTTCAATTCGCTGTCGGAGCCCAACCCTTGCAGGAGACCCAACCCCGAACCCCTATCACTCTCCTCATCTTCTCTCTTCCTCCGTCCCTCTCTCTGCCATCCCAATCTTCATCAACAGTGGCAGCCCCAATCCCCCTTGAAGAATCTAAACGAATGGAAGAATCTGGTAGAAATACTATTCAGGTGAGCAAACCAATCTTATTTGTTATCTTCTTAGGTTTGTTTTTTTTCCATCCCCTAAACCAATCTTACCAATCTGTTAACAGTCTTTTTTTGTGAACATGATTGTATCAATAGCTCTGGAAAAATCAGATTTAATAGCTCTGGACAATTTAGATTTAATTGCTCTGGAACATGATTGTATCAATAGCTCTGGAACAACCAGATTGTATCAATAGCTCTGGAACATGATTGTATAGGTGTTTCTGTTTGTATATGTGTTTCTGACTGGGAACAATCAAATTGTATCAATAGCTTTGGAACATGATTGTGAACATCTATATAATAAGGAGGCTCTGGAACATGATTGTGAATATCTATAAACCAATCTTACCAATCGTGATTGTGAACATGATTGTGAACATCTATAAACCAATCTTACCAATCGTGTGTGTTTTTTTTTTTTTTTGGTTTGAGTTTTACTGGTCTCAAATCAATTAGTGATATTGCTTAGTCGATAGTTTATACGATCATCACACATGTGTTTGATAGAATGACCCAATAAGTCATGTATTGCAAGTGTTTGATAGAATGACCCAATAAGTTTTATTTATTTTGATTTTGGAGAATATATATAGGCACACAACTATAACTATCAATGCACCGTTTTGGCTTTAATTATTTTTTTCAAAATTTATAGGATTGTTGAACCAATCATTTTTTTTTTTTTGGTGTGAGTTTTACTAGACTCAAATCAATTACGATCATTACACGTGTTTGATAGAATGACCCAATAAGTCATATTAAATTTGTTTCAGTTCAACCATAAATAAATGCTCATTGGATGTGCCACTACATAGGCCCCAAAAGCTTTTTAACGACATGCATCCAAAGTTTTAATCACAACAATACATAATCTTAAAAAATATCATAAATCCTCATAACTAAGGCCACTTAAATTTATAATTAAACATCACAAAATTTTATAACCAAAACCACCATGGGTTATAACTATAAACACTACAAAAAGTCTAATAACCAAGTTCATCATAAATTTGATCATCACATAATCTTATAACTAAATGCCACATAATTATTAAGTAAGACCAAAAATCATTAGAATTATGGTGCATGGTACACATTTTTTAAGGGAATGTGTATCAAAGAATTTTTGAACGTTTATTTTAATTAATTTTTAAAAATTATTTGTGATATAGTAAGTTTTCAGCTTAGAAAAAAGAGTCTTTTGACAAGGCATTCAACATTAAACCTGTAGTTCTGAATGTAAGTTTAATATTCCTTTTGTTTCTTTTCTATTTTTGTTGGTAATCAAGTTACTGATAAATCAAGGTGAACTTGCTTTGCATCTCATGAAGGATGGATGATGATTAAGAAACTTACTATATTAAACGTTTTCTTTATTTTGATCTTATTTTGCTCTCATGTTTATTTTTCCTTTTTTTCTTATTTTGCTTTCTTATTTTGCTCCCATTTAGGGGGAATATTTTATTTTTCCTTTTTTTCTGATTTAACTGCAGTATGTTGATGGGTGTGGTGTGATTTTGATTAACTTTTTAGGTTGCTATGGCACAATCAAGTGGATTGGCCCCTCATCTCTCTCCTCTTATTCTATAACAGGTAAGCGATTCACATCTTAATGTTTTTTATCCACAAACCTAACTTTTGAAAATGGCAATGGATTATTTAATTTGCTTTCATCCGCAAACCTAACTTTTGTTCATTCGTATCTGAAGCATTGCTTTCAATTTGCTTAATAGGCTCACATTAGAGAGCTTGAGAAAAAAGTGAAACTTTTTAAGAATCTTTTGCATCCAAACATTGTCGTTGGTATTTGATTACATTTTTGTGTTCTCATTGCCTAAAAATTTGGTAGGCTCACATTAATTTTATTTATTTTTTCCCAATTTAATTCTACATTGATTCATTTAACACTTTGTTTTTTTATTGACAAATACTAACATTTTTTTTAAAGACCATTAAAGCCTTGATAGAGCTGCCTCTGTGTATGTGGTTTTTTTTTTTTTATTTACTTAAATGTACTATGTAATTTCTTTGTATAGCCATGACCATATCCATTTGTAAATGGGTCAAAGAAACGTAGAGATTGATTTTTTGGGTCCAACATTATCATCTACTTTCTTAGTAGAGGGATATGTATAATTTAGGTCTATATTTTATATATTTTTTAGTAGAGGGATAATTTTTCTACTTTCTCCACTTTTTGTTTTTCCTGTCTCATATCTAAAATCATCAACCACCTCAAACTGAAATCCTATTGTTGAAGCATATCATACAGTTCAATCCTGTTGGTGTGTTCCAGGTCTTAGATAACGCGAGTTGGATCTCAATTAGCTTTCAGAAGATGCTTGATTGAAATGTGTCAAGTTCTAGAATTAATTAGCTTTGTTACAGGAATTCACTCAATTTTGATTTGAGTCGGATTGTATTTGGAAGTGCCATTAATACCTATGGTAAAGATAAGATATCTTTGGGGAGTGACTTTATTTCTTGTTGTTCATGGTTAAGACATTTTCCTATGGTAAATATAAGATATCTTTAGGGATTTAAGATATCTTTGGGGATAACCAATCAATCATGTTTTCCTATTTGTTTGTTTGTTTGTTTTCATATGCTTAGAATTTAATAAAATTTTAATTGGCAACCTCATCCCTACTCTATATTTTCTTGGTTTTGTTTAAGAAAATGTAATCTATGTGGATCTATTAAGGGTAATGAAAATGTAATCTAAAGTTCATTACAATAGTTCTTTTGTATGAATCCGTTAAGGGTATTGAATCGTGATTTTAGGTAGAGATTTGGAAAGATGAAAGAAAAAACGTGAGTAAAATATAAATGCAATATAATTTAAATATTTTTCTTCCTTTTCATTTTTATTTTCTTTTTCAAATCCATATTAAAGTTCATGATCCAAACACAGTTTAAAAGAATTAAATTGTTGCTGTTTAGTTTCTCGCACAAGACATTGAATGGCATATAGTTTGAATTAAATTGGTATTGAGCAAGACATTATTTGCAATTTATCAATGCCTAAAGCAATGCATCGTAACTTTTCTTAAATTGAATGGTAGATAGTATGAATATTAGGGATAAAAGAGGAAGCAAAACCAATTTATAGAAGTGAAAAATAAATTAAGTAATACCAATCTTTTGAGCCAAGTACTTACTCTTCAACCACATTTTTAAAAAAAAATCTTTTCCTTCTTTTTTTTTTCTCCCAAAAATTAAAAAAATCTTTTAATGTTAATAATTCAATTCTCATAATATTTCTTTATCATATCTATATTTTGTCAAAAAAATGTTAGCTTAG